TTTTTTTTTTTTTTTTTAATAAAACATCAAAATATAAGAAAAAATTAATTTTAAATTAAGTTTAAATTCAAACATGAACTTGAAGTATACTTTAATCTATAAGAGGAAAAAAAATTTTTTCTTTAAATATGTACGTAATAAAAAATTACTGATTTATTTTAGTAGAAAGTGATTTCTGGCTCATCCTGTAATTATATGTCTGTGTTAGACTCCATTTATTTATTATCGGCGATAGTGGAACTACCAGATCGTGTTAAACCTGATAACAGACGTCTAAGTGAAAATTTTCCACGAATTAAAAAAATAGAAGAGATCGGCAGTGTTTGAGCGTGTTAAGAAGATTACGATCAATTAGGCACGGCGACGAAGATCCAGAGTAAAGAAGCTTAGCGATAAAGCCACTTACAACTCGATTAAACGAACCGTTGGAAGTTCGTTCGAGTATAATTAAACGTGGACAGGGCCACCCTCGATCGTATTAAAATCGTGCGAACATTTGACAAGTTCCCCTGAGAAGTTTAACAAAGTTTCCTCCACGCCAGCCACCGGAAGCTTGTTCAAAAGTCACCATCCCCTTGCACGCTTCAGTATACTTTGCTAAAATAAAACTGCAACGCCTGGCATTTTGCACTCAGGGAAGAGCAGTTTCCTTTGAAAATCGCGCGATGGAAATCACTTTTGTCCGAAGAAGTTTCGCTTCAGTTTTCACGAATAGCTGGGAAACAGGGAGGGAAATTTCGCTAGTTTGGTAAAATTACCAAATGTTGTCGTTTAGCTCAAGTCGTTCGCGAAACGATGCTAAACTTCACGACAAGCAACGAATGCAACTTTGTTGCGTGTCTGTTTTGAAAGATACAGCCGAGGCAGAACGCCGCAGATAAATAATGAAATATATTGCTAAGGACTGCTAAATACTTGCCATCAATCGTGTATTTTTGCATTCGAATATTCGAAGATCCATCCACTCTTGTGGGAAATGAATAACTATGGTTGTGTACTTTTGCATTGTTTCTTTATTGTGTGATAAGTCTGATGGCTTTTACTAAATTCCGATCTGTCCGAATATTGAAACCGTTATAATTTTGTAAGAAGTAAAAAAAAAAAAAAGAAATCGTATCTCAACAATAAACCTGGATTCGTTTCGAAGTTTGAAGACTCTACTTTCTAAGACTCTAATATTCATTTTATCCTGAAATCACGCATGGCAATATTACTTTTCCTTCAATGTCTCCAATTGATTCCAACAGAAGACACGCGAAATAATTTCTTCATATGAGTGAAACTACGAAGTGAGATAACTCGTCAGTATTATTGTAGAAACGGTGTTAGGGGGAGATATCTGGTTGGTGATGTTGCAACCGACAATCGACACAGTTGTGGCGAGATATCTCGTCCGTGATGGCAAAGGGGTTAATGGAAAATACTTCTTATTTTTTTGAATGATTTAAAATTTCAAGAGTCTGAGAATTCGAGAGCTACTCGACTACACCGTGACTGAAATTTTTGAGAAATTTAAAAAATGTGAATGTTGTTCTGAGTCTAAACTATACTAGTTTCCGAATCGGCGTCAGATCTTTGGGGGATAAATATAAAATACTTCAGTTTTGGACTTTTCGAGCCTGGAAAAAACTTTTGGTATAAGATATTGTAACTTTGGTGTAAGATATCTGGCATGACAGTCGACGCTATAATAATCAAACTACTTATTTACAACGTCATAAATGAGATACGATATCGTTATCGGTTGTTCGACATTCACCGACTACTGAGAATGATCAGTCGTGTAGTAACGTCTGCACAGAATTCAGTGTGTTGTACCGGCAGTTTCCTATTAACATCTCGAAAACTAACAAAAGCCAGAAATTGAAATTTTACATTCGAAATTTCACGTCGACCGGGAACCGACACTTCTCGAAATTCTGAAAAATTTGAAAATTTTAATGCTTTCGATGTTCAACACGAACATTAAATATTTAACATTAAATATATGAAGATTGAAAAGATATTTTGAATGAAAATTTGAGAGGCTAGAATATTTATGTATTTGTAGAATTTCGAAATTTCGAAATTTGGCAACCAGAAGATTGGAAAATCGGAAGATTGTAAGGTAAAAGGTTCCTCCTTTATTTCCTGCCTATGAAAACATGTAAGCAAATGAAAAATGATGACACATTGAATACCAAATGAATGCTAATATATATTGAAATTGATAAGTATTTAATACTGCACTTAATAAGTAGTTTGTTCTTGAAAATATGCTAATTGTATATAAACATATACGACAATCGAGCGACTATCCCTTCCTAAAATAACGTGATAATGAACCACGCCACTCGTGGACTTAAACAATAACAATAAAGGCACTGTTCAATGAACACGAGACGAAATTATTTAATAAATATTATTATTTAATTTTTAATGCGCGATCTTTTCGTATAAGATATTTAGAGGATTTATTTGGTTACACTATATATATTTTTCCAATTATAGTGAATTATATTTTAGTGAAAACAATTACAAAATAAAAATAGACAATTCTGTAATTTATAATACGGATCTTGGATTGCGCGAAGCTGCGAGATCCCTCCAAACGCATTTAAACTTTTAAACTTACAAATTTTTAAATCTTCGAATC